ATCACTAAGGGCTCACACTGATTCACATACACAAGGACGACATGCACACACGTCCATCTCTCTCTCTTCATCCATTCATACACTGACCACGGATGAGAAGGATAACAATTACTGCAATAAAAGCCACAAAGTATTGAGTGTTTGACAAGGTCACTAAGGTGTCCGCACAGATGGTCCCGTTTCACGCTCACAGTCACGCACACGGCCTGCGTATGGACGCTGCCCTCACTTGAACCGGCAGCCTGATCTGACAGCTGGTGCGTTACCCACCACCCAGCGTGTTTCCCACTGTGTCAGACACCGAGTGGTTATGAGATGCTGAAATGGGACGCGTGCCCTCAAGGATTCTACAGAGTGTGAAGGGATTGTGACACACACTGAAATTCACAGGCTGAATTACAAAAGTGTTTACCGTAATCCCTGGAGTCACGGAGAGGGGACTTCGAAGGCCACCTATGGCTTTGCTGAGCTCCTGCTTGGAACCCACAGGGAAAATGAGATGCACCCAGACATCAGAGGGAGAATGGGGGGACGCCAGGAGAACCCTGGGCGAAGCACAGACTGATTTACACATTTGCCAAATTCAACACGTTATTATTCTTACCACCATCTACCAGCACCATCTGGATTGCATGCCCCCCACCCCCACCCCAATTTACCAAATTGTCAGCTCCACAGGCAAATCGGGATTTTTGAAGAATTCATCCCAGTTCAAACTCTATTTCTGGTTCTTACTAAAAAATTGGGTGTAAACACACACACACACACACACACACACACACACACACACACTCACTCACTCTTAATAATTTGACTTCCAAAGAGAAAAACAAGTTGTAATTTTTTGGTAGAAACAAATTAATGTGAAAATAAACACTTTTTTATGGAAAATAAAAACAAAAGAAAATAGAATATGCTTTGTCTTTGTAATTTTGTTATCTAAACACAATGGGAAGGTAAGCAGGATCATTTTTTACCCACAATACATAAAATCTCAATTAGTTATGGTCTATTTGTGCACTGACGAAAAACATTCGTTAACAAAACAGAATTTTCTAGTTTACTGGATAAATATACCAGGAGAAATTGCAGAATAATGCTAGGTTGCCAGGCAACCACAGCTCCACTCCCTCCTCTCTGTGATCAATCCAACTCATTCATCAAGCTTCTTATCCCAGGGCTGGAGAACGCCAACCAATTTGTTTCTTGGGAAAATGATAGTGACTTTCAGTAACACAATAACACTTTTATTCTCAGAAGATAAACTTAGATGTTCTTTTGATCAAAAAGGGATGTGTTAATTCATTATTCTCTACATGGTGCTAATGAGAAAGCTATAATTAGCTAACGACACTACTGCGACAGCATAAAATAAACTGCAGTAATTAGTAATGTTTAAGATGTTAACTAGCCTCCAAAATTAGAAAATACAGCATGTTTCCTCCAAGAAGGGTGTAAAGAGAGGAGAAAGCACCATACCTGGTTAAATAGAGAATTCTTTCCCTCCCTCCCATCCCCCACAAAAAAGGGGGCCAGAGGAATGTGATGGCCAAAATGTGAGAGGTTCCACTTTAACAGCAGAGAAAACAGCTCAAGGTCAATTCTACTTGTAGGTAGCCCTAAAATGCTAGTGAATAACATGATCTTTTCTTTGAAAGAATGCTTAGCACAATATTTTTCCAGGAATGAATAGGAAGAATATTATGCTTTCATTCATTAGCTGTGTTAACTTAGCATATTGTATGTAAATCACCATAATAATTGCATTTTCTTCAGACTGAATTAGTTGGAATGAAGCTGTAATCAAAATGTTCATAATTGAAACCATAGTATTCTCAGTCTGGGTCTGAAAAAATGACAAAGGGCACTGCTTGAATCGCATCACACAGTCCCCCATTCAGAACAACCTTAGTATACACAAGTCGGTCCTCTGGATTGTACCTTTGCATGTCAATTAGTTCCCCCAATTCAGGACTTGACGCCTCCAGATCTGTGATTGTCTCCTACAGTTACCCTTTGGCATAACTTAGAGCTCTCCGTATGCATGGCTACTTAGATTTTTTAGGTAAAATACAGAATAGTGAAAAGCTAAATTTTTGTCTCTAGAATATATTAGACTGTATGGCACTGTTCCTGCCATAAATCAAAGGCCAGGACAATTTCCAGGGAGTGAAGCATTTAATGCCAGTGCTCCAAGAAAACAATATGCAAATGACCGTGTAAATTTCAGGTGAGCTGTACGACGAATTCCTCCAGGCACCTTGTAGAGAAGGCGTGCTCGCTGTGAGGAAGGGGCTGTGGTCGTGCACCAGGCAAACCTGAGGGCAAACTTACTCTGAGCTGATGCTCGCAGGCTCCCTGACAACCTCCTTCAGGCCTGACGTCACTGGCCTCCCTCCATCACTTAATTTTGCCTTTACCAGACAAGAGCTAGTAGAATCAGAAATCAGCCTTGGTCACTACTCTTATGTAATTCTTCATAAAAATGAATCGGCCTAATTATTTCAGCACAGCCATTTTGAGTCAAACAACACCCTATCTGCAAAGATTTCAGAAGTAAATTATAAAATCAAGTTTCTGTCCAGCAAATATTTTCTAGGCGAGGTCTGCTTTATGATGGTGACAATCTGTCTGGTTTTACCTGCTTCAGATCCACTGAGACATGCCTATATTTTAATAAGCAAGTGATTTTTAAAGTAGTTATTTAAAACCAGTTCATTTAATGGGATGGATTAACTTAAAGGTAATGCATACATTATGTGTAATATCAACCCTGTCGGGAGTGCAATTACGTCCCCGGGTCTAAGGTTTTCTCATGACCGGGTAAAATGGAGCACCTGTATAACCATGTGGTAGCAATAAACATCGACAGCCTTTTCTGTAAATACAGATGCAAGAGAGAACAATCTGGAAACAGATATTCATCACCATCGTCCGGCACTTCTGCAGTGAAGTGGGTACAAACACGCCCCCGAGTGATGTCTGATGAGCTGCCACAGCCGGGGCGGGGCGTACACCGACCCAGGAGGAACTGTTTGTCTCAGATTATTCGCTTATCTATTCGGGGCTAGTGAGGAACGGATGAGGGCACACCGTGCTCTGCCGTTACTGCAGGTAAGTCCCCGGCAGCACTGAAGCCATGACATGGGAAGCCGGTTCATGCACTAGATCCGAGAGCCGTGTTACATTACGGAGCCACAGGGCGCTCCGTCACAGAGGGTGGGATCGCCACAACCCAGAGCCACTCAGCCGGGGGGAGGGAACACGAACCCGGAGGAAACGCGGGCTTCCTGGGGAACCAGGGAGTTGCCCCAAACGGCTTTCTTAGCTTCTCCCTCGACCCGCACCCGGACCAGCACCTGGTCAGTTTCTGTCCCCCATCTGCTGCCATCCAGAGCTTCGGAGGAGCTGGGCTGGGCGGAATGTTAACTGATATTTAAGATTAGGAAACACAAGATTTTACCTTCAGCAAAGATACAGAGACACGAGAAGGTACCATCTCCAATTAAGTGGAGGATTAACTAATAATCATAATAACACCGTCGACAACCATAACTATCTTCCGAGTATCTATCATCAGGCAGACACCAGGCTGAACTACGTGGATTCTCTCGTTCCAGTCGCGCCACAACCCCATAAGGAAGGTGTTGACATGATCCCTGTTCCTTACAAGGGGAAACTGAGGCACCGAGCAGTTAAGTCGCTCTTGAAGAACCACACGTCGCAGGGACAGATGGTGGAGCTGGGACTCCAGGCCACGTGGGCGCGCGGGGCGCCTCTGCTCGGCGCCCGCCCAGGTGGCGCCCCAGGTGCCCACCTCCGCGCACGCGCAGTCTCGCCACGCCCCACCCCAGGCGGTCCCGGAGCACGCGCACGCGCGTGCACACCCCCC